CCAAAAACGTCGCAAGTTTGAGGCTCGAGTGGGGCACCACTTAGGTCTGGGTATGACTGGCTGACGGAGGCTAACCAACCAGCTTTTCAGACAGAATTTTGTCCATTTATTCGAGTATATCGGCGGTTGAAACGTTCTGCTGTTTATTTTTCTGTTCTCCCAACATATACACACAAACTAGAAGCCAGGAACTGTATTTTGACGACGTTTTAGTGACTGCATAATGTAGACGCGAGAGGTCCGGCTTATAACTTGTGTCATGCAACGGTAGAAGCGTCGTGGAAGCGTGTTTCTGCGCTAGTGCGTACACTGGAGGGTTTAGTGAAAAACACCTGTACGAAATATAATCTCCGTGGGCTAAGCCGCTCGATAATGCAGGTGGATCTTCAATTCCTTTATCTCACTGGTCATCCAGTACCTGGATGCTATCTTTTTTGGAAGCACTCTAACTGCGCACGCTCCAAAATACGCCACAGCACTGAGGCGAGGTCCGTTTGTCTTTTTCTGCACTCGCGTCTTCCAGCAGGAGGAAAGAGACCTGCAAAAGATCACTAAAGGCGAATTATTTTCACCTTTACCCTTTCCACATGCATTGTTCGGTGGATTAAAACAGACACGGTGCTCAAATGAAAGAGAATGTTCGCATTCCAGGTATTTCTATTGGTAAAGAAGACACACGATCGAGCACTGGAACGAATTGTATTTTGTCCTGAGCTTTCGGGCTCCTGTAGGAGTCCATCGTTAGAGGTAAAAAAAACAGCAATACAGGCCACAAGTAGCCACCCCATTTGTTGCTGTTTTTTCCACCTCTAACGATGGACTCCTGCAGGAGCCCGAAAGCTCAGAATAAAATACAATTCGTTCCAGTGCTCGATCGTGTGTCTTCTTTACCAATAGACACGGTGCTGTTTGGTAGAACAGACGGAGTTCCCAAGTGGTGCTTAGTGAATTTAAGTAGCGAAAGTGAGGTTCCGACGGTTGCTTTAATGGCGAAGAAAAAAAGATGTGAAGCCAATTTCCCCGCCGTTCATTTAACTCCCTCGTTGCGACCCTCCCATCGGACAGGTTGACCCTACCACCAGCCAGCGCCTCTCGCCCTCCCTCTTTCTAGTTCAGTTTGTTACAGTCTAGTCCATATCCGCGTGTTGTGTGGTGTTAGTAACATTCTTCCTATGCTGCCCACCAAATTCCTCTCTTACCTGAACGCTTTCGCTGAAAGGAATGATTTGTGGTTTGGAAAGTGGGCCACTTTTTACGCTGCTGGACTAGCAGCCGCATCATTTATGCCGTTCTGCCTGTCGGGTGAACTTTTAATTTCCTTTCGATGCGATGGGGATGAGGGCATCAAAAGGCCACTTCCAGAGGCCCAGTAGACAGTTCGGTTGCATTCCATATTGCATGATTTAATCTCCCGCGCGCACACCGTTGAGTGAGACGTTCCATTTTATATCTTTTTTTTAAGACCAGTTGGCGCTTTAAACCGCAAACTCCATCTCAAGCACACTGGGTTTAGGCAGGTAAAGCATCATATAAAATAAGGAGTCAACCATCTCTTAACATACTTTCTTGGTGAATAAGCTACGTAAAACTCGTCTCACGCCTATATACGTGTTTTTATTTTGATTATTCGGCAACAGTACCTTATGTAGTCCCCTCATTAATCCATACTCCCTACGAAAACGGTGGGTTTAGGGTTTTATGGGTTGGGGAATTAGGATACGCAGTGGAATATACTTTAATAACTGCTATATGCATT